CTCTGTCCCCCTCCCCCCAGCTCCTTTCAATATAAGAAAGACATCGATAAATGACAATTATTTCGGTGAAGAGCCACCAAAGTAGTCAGGTGCTGTGAGAAGAGGCTAAGAGAACAGAGATTCTCCAGTCTGAAGAAGAGATGGTTTTGAAGGACTGTAACAGCAGCCTTCCTGTACTTTCCAGATAACTTCCCCACAGGCATCAAGATGACAGAGACAGGCTGTTCAGTGATGTACAGTGGGAGAATAAAAGACAACAGACATAATGGACAAACAGAAGAGCTTTTGACTGGATAAAAGGTAAAAATCTAACTGCCCAGAGCAGTTGTACAGTTTCCATCCTTGGACATTTTCAATGCCCAGCTGGATAAAGAACTGAGAAACCTAGCTTGAAGTCAGTCTTACTTACGTTAAGGAGGACTAAACAGTCTTGCCTGCAATTTGAGTTATCAGCAACTATGATTCCTCCAACATTTTTCTGGCAGGCAATGTAGATGCATGAGGACACCATCAAACCAAGCCAGAGGGAGATCCACACATATAACACAGCGAGGTGTGCTGGTTACTGATGAACAGAAAGGTATTATTCATACATGTGCTAAATTGAAAGGCAGCCATGAACATGAAGGTTCTCAATAAAACATCAGCTTCAAAACTGTTTTAATGTTAGAAATTGGAATTAACCCAAAAAATTAAGATAAAAATGCAACATGATACATTAAACCAAAAATGCAATATGGTCAATGGATACCAGATTACTAGAATAAACTGTATTTAAGATTATAAAACTAATCTAGCAGGTGACCAAAACCAATATAAACTGAACTTTGGTAAAACATCTGATACATCAGAATCCAACTGAACAGTAAAAAAAAACAGACTAACAATTGTAAACTATGTCAAAAATTCACTAAAAAGGAGAGTGAAACAAAAACTAGCAGAATAGAGGGATATATTAATGAGTTCTCAATGGACTAGTTTTTTGAAACAGTTCAATCGCACATCAAACAAACTCAGAAATACAATCAGCAGCAAAGCCTGGGCTAAAGGACACACAATTAATGCTGTAGCCCCAAAGCTTGGAGAAAATTAGCAGGGCAAGATGCAGTAGTACAAAGCATAACATGAAGTAAAAGATCACTTAACATTACATACACCAAGGGAATAGTCAAGAATTTGTATATACTAGTAGCGCATAAGTCGGAAGGAGAGATTGTGCATACATTAACGTATCACAAGACGACTGAGTCACCAGCCTGATACATTCCAAGATCACATTTGCTTCTTATGCCTGTACCAACTGAAGTATTTTCAGGCATGAAAGCAAAGCATTAGCGTCTTTGTGAAGGGTGCTGGTACATTTCACATGTGCTTCATCCGGAACAGGGTGTACAAAAGAACTTGCAGAATTGTGTCTCCCCAGTTTGAAGACTCTCTCATACTTTATCATACACTAGTTCAAGATAATTTCTTAAAAGTGAAGTACTGAATAAGGATGAAGTGAGGAAATCACCTACTTTACTCTCATGTCTGCTTTATTCCAAGAGATTTTTAGAAAGGAAGATGCTAACCTTTATAGCAGGACTTGACAAATGTAATGTAACTTGGCCCTGCACATTTATCTTTCTAATGCACCGCTTCTACCTGTAGTAGAGAGGACTGACAGGCCACATGGCTTACTGGATACACTGTGTATGTTATCTTAGCAATAAAGACTCGAAAGCTGATAAGAAAAAAATGTAAATAAACCCACAGGCCACATGATTCAGAACTGAACAATCAAGCTGAGCCTGAGGGAGAAAAACAACAACAAAAAAAAATCTTTTCATAGAAGGCAGCTAGAACAATTTCCCTGACAGACTGGTTAAGAGGATTCTCTGAACAAGGACTTCTGAATGACTGCTTTTAATTTCTTTAACTTCTGTACTTAATGAGACATACTGCAGGAAGTCAAGACTGCCTGTGCAGTGTATGTTCTCCCTCCATGAAGTGACTGCAGACAGAAGTGAGGTGAAAATGTCTAGGAGGGAAGAAGCACATGACTCCACATACAGAAGCGTATCCTCACAGAGTCAAAGCGCTATCTGGAAGAAACCACTTGAGTATATCTACTCCAGCCTCCAGGTCGAAGCAGGAATATTGTCAACATCAAATTAGGTCAGTTTAGAACTGTAACCTGTCCCAGTGAAGGACCACACTCCTTATGAAGTTTTTTCTATTGTACAATTTGAATCTCCCAAGCTAAAACTTGTAGCTGTTGCCCCTTCTTTTATCATCTCTTACTGCTGAGAAGAGTGTGCCCCTTTAGGTAGATGTAGGTCACAATTAAATTGCCTCTAAGCCACCTTGGTCTCCTCTTTGCAAGACTAAAGCCCAGCTGCCTCAATCCCTCCTCACAGGTCATACACCCCGTGCCCCTAAACATACTGGGCTGGACCCTCTACAGTTTCTCAGCAACTTTCTTTAACTGCAGTGCACGAAACCAAAGAGGATATTCAAAGTATGGCCTCATCAGTGGCACAGAAAAGAAGCAAAACCATGTCCCTTGCTGCCAGCCACACTCCCCCTTACACAGCAGACAAAGCAAATTGCATACTAAACTATGAGACATGATGTTGGCTCATTTAACAGGCTTGTATAGACAAGACTCAAATTAAACTGAACATTAAAGTTAATTCTGCAGTGAAGATAATCCTTAATCACACATTCCCTAAAGCCTTAAGTTGCATCTTAAAGCAAATAACAATGCATGCCACTTCAACGCACTAACACCTACAATATATACCAATAAACAAGCAAGCTACATTCTGTTCTAGCTACAGTTTCCAGGTAAATCCAGGCCTTGAATACACACATACTATCTCTTTCTATAAATTATCAATAGACTATCTTTAGAAGTGATATTTCAAAGCCTATTAGGCATTTTTTTTTTTAGAAAAAAAAATTAATTTTACACTCTGAAATTAATGGTAGTGCCTTTACTAAAGCCAAATGTTTCTAGAATTTCTGGTTCTCCTTGAGTTTTTATCCTCTACCACAACCACTAAAAGTCAAAATACCTTTGTAAAGTTATTTCACTGACTTGGCTGCTGACACAATGTAAACTGGTTAAACAGGTTTACAGCCTCATATGGCACTATGAAGTCTCCCAGTGTCTCCTGTCTCCCTGCTAAGAAACACTACAAACTGTTCTGCACGTACCCAAAGAAGTACACAGGCTCAAAACAGTGATTTAAGGTACATCATTGCCTCCCTGAACTTGGAAATCTTACAGAGCAGCTGTTCAACTGTTTAGAAAGACAAGCAAGAAAACAGTAAATGTAAACTTATTAATATTCCATTAATAAAACTGAGTTACTTTATTGTAGAAGTAAAATTACTTAAGAATAAAAAAGGTTGACTTTTTGTTTCAGAAATGTGGAAATAGGGTTTTAAGGTATTTATGAAGAACTTATGAAGAAGTAATGCGTAGTCACAACTGAACCATGCAAAGGAAATGAACACTGAAAAGATCCTTCTGAAAGTCCTAAGTTGGGGAAAAAGCTAGAGTAATAGGTAGGCCTGGATCCAGAAAACGGCGTACAGAGATTGAACATTTGGAGTAGTTAGAATTTGCCACTGAGGTTTACGTTGATGTCAGGGGACCCATCTCTAATTAAAACAGAGGTTGGATTTCAGTTGAAGTATTGTTACAGCTTCCACAGCACCCATTACCAAGGCACAGGCGGTTTGTGAAAGCTAGCAAAAAGCTTGCCAGAAAAAGAATTCTACAGTCACAAGAATCTGTTTCTGCCCATAACTGACAGAAACCCCGTGAAGGAGAAGACTGCACAGGAGGGCCAAGATCTAATTGCCTTGCACAGTGTGATTTGCCTAGGTGAGAAAAAAATGAAAATATGGCTCTGTCGAGAAGGCGCATAAAATTCTATATATACAAAACTCACCCTGCCTTCCAGAACTGCAGTCACTTTTCATTAACACAAATTTTAAGTATTACATTACGAATGTATCTGAGGAAATACACTTCCTGCTCAAAGCTAAGGAAAAATCAAAACATTATAACGCAGTCTAAATTTATCCTTTGTCCCGCAGAAAGAGGGGAAAAATAGTCATAGAGGGGTTTTCCCTCCAAGAAATCACGTGTATCACAGGAGATGCTTTAGACTAACAGCTGAACACATGGCTTTATAACTGATTAAAAGACCAAAAGATACAAAGGAGTTTCACTACCATTTTGCTTCTGAAAAGAGTGTAAATAATTCTTGTCAACAAGCCTTTAACAGTTTGTAGAAGCGTTATTCAAGGTACTTCATTTCACTGCTGAAAAACAAGTTACTGTCTCTTTCTCTCCCTGTACATCTTGGAGGAGAGGGACATGGAATGAAGGAAGAGTGGCACTGCAAATATAGCTGGTTACCTATTATACCACCTTCTGTGTGAGAAGCGTGATCCAAGGCACACAAGGAGACATCTTCTACATCTGACAGACCACACAGGCATTCCTACTACCTCGCCTACTACAGTAAATAGCAGATCTTGTTTCTCTTGATTAAAACAATTTTATTCTTCCAAAATAACCTAAAGTATCAAAGCAACTTAATAGTCTTTATCATTACCTTTCAGTAGAAACCTGACTTCACCCTTATATACAGACCATGACAAACAAGCAATCATCCACTTAGCACAGAGCTTCTTGAAACAAGGGGGGGGGGAGGGAAAAAAAAAAAAAAAAACACAGAAACGATAAAATATTTACTATTCCTATTTTTCCCTATGAGCAGTCCTTAGACTATACTGTTTTTACTAGTAATGTCATGGCTTGTTTTTCGTCTCCAAACAATAGAGCTATCTCCCTAGAGCCCTTATTGCCCGGTCCTCACAGCCTGTGCACACTTGATGTCCATCTCTCCAGTTTTCACGGTATTGTTATACATGGTTAAAAGATAATTTGCTGAATGTGAAGAATTTGACCTTTGAATTTCTTGCTTTGCTTAGGGAGCTTAATAGGTAAAGTATTAAGTAATCAGACAAGAACCTACATTTGGGGGCACCTGCACAAGATGCTGAAACCAGACGGTTACATCCCGTTCGAGAAGGGAACAAAGCATGACTTCGGTAACACTGATATCTGAGTAAACATTAAAGAAACCACAAGGTTATATCACTATAGCAACATATCTCGAGTAAGACCTTGGGTAACCAAAAGCATGGAAAACAGCTTGTGTTAACAAAATTTGTAGCTAACTGCTTTGTTAAGATTATATGAAGCGAGGAGAAGAAAGAGGAAGATAAGATTGCAGAAGAAGCCGGGAGGCGTGCCGATGATGTTGAAACTGGCAGCTGTGTAGATAAAAAGGGGGGTTTTAACTTAAACAATTCAGTGAGCCTTGACGGAGCTGCGACTCCTCGGCCACCCCAGCGCTGCATTTACGCTCTTACCTTAATAAAGATTCATTAATCCATATTTGGATGTGATTTGCCTTAATCTACCTATAACAAAATTTGGTGCTGTGACTCGGATCCAGACAGCTGACTCGGCATTCAACTATGGGAGGGCGCCCCATCCTTGGATGGTCCCAGAGGGAATCCTGACCTAGCTCACGTGGATTTTCTGAACTGAGATAGGAGAGCAAAGAGGATACGGGGTGGGGGATCAGACTCTCCGGTAACACCCCAAGACGGCTGTTCCCCGTAGTATTTGTACATGAAGACGGAACAAAGACTCTGGACTGAGTGAGTATATTGCGATACCGTTCGGTTGGGAATTGGGTACCCGGAGTGTGAGTGATTGAGACGTCCACCGGACTTAGGAGTCCAAGGGGCGAAGCGAGTGTGGGCCTCCCATTAGTGCGGTTCCCATTGTCCGCGAGGGCGTGGGCCACGAACGGGGGAAAGCGAGTGACTCGTGTGACAGAAGGCACTGCCAGAAGATGGGCCAGAAGAAGAGTAAGGTTTCTGGTACCATACAGAATAAGCAGGGTAGGGGTGGTGAACTCCCTAAAATACCTCCAGATAGTCCATTAGGGCTCATGATTCAGCAGTGGGAAAGTTCCCCCTCCCAAAGGGAAAAAAATCTAAGGAAAAGATGATCCATTATTGTATGGAAGTATGGGGGGGGGGAAGGAGATAAGAAGGGATTTATATTGGCCAATTTATGGCTCCTCTGAGGATTGGATATGCCAACAATTGAATATTTATGTAAATGACAAACAACCATTTAATAAGGAGGAGAGTGAATATGCCTTCTTATGGATACTAAGTACGTCACAAACCGCAAACTTATTTCCACTAAAAGAAAAGAAAAATAACAAGAAAATGAAGGATCTAGATGGCACTCCACCTCCTCTTTCTCCCTACGTTCCCCCTTTTAATCCGCCCCAAGACTCTGGGTAGGCTCCTTCCCCCTCCACTCGCCAAGAGTCCCCGTTAATTGAAGAATTAGATTCTGAGTCTGATGATAAATAATTCCTCCTCTACCTAGGAGGACAACAAGAAGTCAGACTTGGGAAAGCAGAAGGGAAACATTATTATATCCGTTAAGGGAAACAGCAATGGGAGGACCCCAGCAGGGAGTTGGTTTTGTATCAATCCCACTCAGCCCCGGGGATGTAAGAGAATTTAAGAAAGAAATGGGACACTTATTGGAGGACCCTGTAGGGGTGGCAGAGTGGTTTGATCAGTTCCTCGGCCCAAATATTTACACCTGGGATGAGATGGAATCTATCTTGAGAATCCTATTTACTAGTGAGCAACAAGGAATGATCAGAACCGCTGGTATGAGACATTGGGACCAAAGACATCAACAAGGACCCACTGGGGATACAAAGTGGCCCCTCCAGCAACCTAATTGAGATAACCAAGACCCAGTTCATAGAAATAATATGATCGACCTCAGAGACATGATAAGCCAAGGAATTAGAGATTCGGTACCAAGGGGGCAGAATACTAATAAGGCCTTCAATTAACAACAAAAGAAGGACGAGACCCCCAATGGTTAGAGAGTCTAAGGAAGGGCTTGCAATTATATTCGGGTTGGACCCTGATAGTCCGGTGGGTCAGGCCCTACTTAAGACCCAGTTTGTGGCTAAATCCTGGACGGATATAAGAAAAAAAAACTAGAGAAAATAGAAGACTGGCAAGACAAAGCGTTAGATGAGTTATTACAAGAAGCTCAGAGGGTGTACGTAAGAAGAGAGGAGGAAAGCCAAAAGAGGCACGCCAGAATCCTGATGACAGCCGTGAGAGAAGGACAAAATCGTGATAGGAGAAAGGAGAGCCCCTGAAAGAATACTGTGGGAAACAGGAGACCGGACCCACAGAATATGGAGTGTTTTTACTGTCATAAAAAGGGACATCTAATGAAACACTTCAGAAAGAGAATGCAGGATGAGGAGGTCTTTAAGGAAGATTAGGGGGGTCAGGGGCTCTATCTGCTGGGGACCTCTAAGACCACAGAGCCCTTGATAAAATTAAAACTGTGACTCCAGCACGAAGTGTTTGAATTTTTGGTAGATTCGGGCACTGAAAGATCAACTGTTCAACGTTCAACCCAGAAACATGGTATGAACCGGAGTCAGTAGGGAAATTAAATATAAAACCAATAACCGTATCTATCAAGGACCCGGACCAGCCAATCAGAATAAAACAATACCCCATCTCTAGAGAAGGAAGGGAGGGATTAAAACCAATAATAGAGAGACTTTTAGCTCAAGGTCTCTTAGAACCTTCTATGTCCCCTCACAATACCCCTATCCTGCCGGTAAAGAAGGCGGACAGGTCCTATCAGGATTTGAGAGCGGTCAATGAACGAACTATTACTCGATTCCCTGTAGCAGCCAACCCACACACTATCCTTAACCAATTGAGTCCAGATTACAAATGGTATAGTGTTATAGATTTAAAAGATGCCTTTTGGGTTTGTCCCCTGGAAGAAAAATGTAGAGATTATTTTGCCTTTGAATGGGAAGACCCTGAGACTCACAGGAAACAACAATTACACTGGACTGTCTTACCCCAGGGATTTACAGAATCTCTGAACTTATTCGGACAAGCTTTAGAACAACTATTAGAATCTTATGAATTACGTAAGGAATTGATTCTAATACAGTATGTAGACGATTTACTAGTCGCTGGAAGAACTCAAGAAGTCAAGAATGAAAGTATCAAATTGTTAAACTTCCTGCATCTCAAAGGATTAAAAATCTCCAAGTCTAAATTACAGTTTACTGAAGAAGAAGTAAAATACCTGGGACAATGGCTTACAAAGGGTTATAAGAAATTGGATCCTGAGAGAGTTAAAGGGATTCTGTCCTTGACAGCACCCACTACTAAAAGACAAATACGACAGTTACTGGGATTATTAGGGTATTGCCGACAATGGATAGAAAATTATAGCAGTACAGTGAAATTCTTATATGAAAAATTAACTAAAAATGGACTGGTGAAATGGACCCCAGAGGACGAGGAGCATTGGGAAATTATAAAAAGAGATCTAACAGAAGCACCCGTCCTCAGTTTACCTGATATTCGTAAACCTTTTCAGCTTTTTATTAATGTAGATAATGGGACCGCTTATGGAGTTCTGACCCAAGGATGGGCAGGGCAAAGAAAACCTGTGGGGTATTACTCTAAGATATTAGACCCTGTGAGTCGGGGGTGGCCCACATGTTTACAGGCAATAGTGGCTACTGCATTATTAGTAGAGGAGATCAGGAAAGTTACTCTAGGGGGTGAACTGAAAGTGTATACTCCACGTAACATCCGGGGGGTGTCACAACAACGAGCTGACAAGTGGCTCACAGACAGTCGATTACTGAAATATGAGGGAATTTTAATTAACTCCCCTAGGCTAGAAATAGAAACAACCTCTATTCAGAATCCGGCCCAATTTTTGTATGGGGAGCCTAAAGAAAATTTAACACATGATTGCCTCCAATTAATAAGCTTGCAGACAAAAATAAGAGAAGATCTAGAGGAAGACGAATTAGATGAAGGCGAAAAATTATTTGTAGACGGTTCCTCATGAGTGGTCAAAAGGCAACGGAAATCAGGATATGCCATCATAGATGGATACACTTTCCAAGTAAAAAAATCAGGGCCATTGAATAAAGCCTGGTCTGCACAAGCATGTGAATTGTATGCCATGTTGAGAGCATTAAAGCTCCTGGAAAATAAGATTGGAACCATATATACGGACTCAAAATATGCATTTGGGGTGGTACATACCTTTGGAAAAATCTGGGAAGAGAGAGGCCTGGTTAATACTCAAGGGAAGGGATTAGTTCATGAGAACTTAGTCTTAGAAGTCCTGAAAGCATTAAGAGGACCATTGAAGATAGCCGTAGTTCAAATCAAAGGACATCAGAAAGGGCTCACCCCCCTGATAAGGGGAAATAATTTGGCTGATGCGGAGGCAAAACGAGCTGCATTGTTAGTGCTCCAAACTTTAGAAGAGGAACCAAAATTAGAGAAGTTTAAATCAGGTAAAACTTTCACTTCCCAAGAATTGGACAAATTAAAGCAAATCGGGGCAAGGAGAGATGGCAATAAATGGTTATTGCCTGACGGCCAGGAGATCTTTCCTAAGGGATTAGCCCGGGGGATATTGAACAAATTACACCAGACCACACATTGGGGAACTCAAGCTTTGATAGATCAATTTGAAATGAATTACGCTTGTGTAGAGATATATGAGTTAGCCAAGAAAATTTTAGAAGGGTGTTTAACCTGCCATAAGGTAAATAAACGACAACTTAGGGAAAAGGTTTATGGAGGCCAAGAGTTAGCCAAAAGACCCACTGAGAGAATACAATTAGATTTCACTGAATTACTGAGGGTTGGGAGGCATCAGTATCTGTTAGTTCTGGTTGATCATCTTACGCACTTTGTGGAAGCCTTTCCAGTGGTACGAGCCACTGCAAAAACGGTTGTTAAAATTCTCCTGGAAGAAATCATTCCAAGATATGGGACAATCGCGGTAATTGATTCAGACCGCGGTCCACATTTTACATCTAAAATACTTAAAGAAACGACTGAATTATTTGGTACAAAATGGGAGTGTCATACTCCTTGGCATCCACAGAGTTCTGGGAAGGTGGAAAGAATGAATGGGGAAATAAAGAAACATTTAACAAAACTCATGATAGAAACAAAAATGAATTGGGTTAACTGCCTACCCTTAGCTTTGCTATACATTAGAACTCAGCCACGAACAGATACTGGTACATCCCCCTTCGAAATGTTATATGGAATGCCATATGATTCTGGCTTACCAGTCAAACACCCTAAGGTTGAAAATAAGATTTTAACAGAATACATTATGGAACTTACCAAGAGGAGGCAGGATTTAAGAAGGAAGGGTTTAGTGGTGCAACGGCCTCCGTTAGATATCGCAATCCATAAAATACAACCTGGAGATCAAGTACTTATTAAAACCTGGAAGGAGACTTCCCTAACACCTCACTGGGAAGGGCCTTTTGTTGTTTTGCTCTCTACAGATACAGCTGTGCAGACTGCGGAGAAGGGGTGGACACACGCCACCAGAATTAAAGGGCCGGTTTCACCAAGAAAATGGACTGCCACTACACAGCCCAGGACACTGTGAATGAAAATAAACAGGAACTGAGTGAATGAGTAACCCTGACGAGGAGATAAGTGATACTTTAAATAGATTCTTTCAGGTTCTACCAGGAGGGACACTATGGAGAATTCGCTTTGCACCCTGGAGCACAGAAGAACCATTACCTGAACAAACAGGTGGTGCCAGAACATACAGATTGGTGGACACTCTTTAGTATACTGTATTATGTTGTGAAGTAGAGACTGAAATTCCTGAGACACCCCGATTGGAAGATTTGCCAGACATTCCCTGCATCAAGCACCCTGATTGAGAACATTTATGTTGGGTAGCGTGTAAATGTTTTAATTGTAATAAGGAATGGTCTTGTATATCATTTAAAAAACAACCATATTGTATGAAGTGTCACGGCATAATCAACAGGAGTCCAGAAGCCCAGGTGGAAATTTGCAAATTGTTCTGTGGGTGGGAATTATTAGTGCCTGAACACTGGGAAATTTACGATACCGATTGGTATAGAGCATTAGGACCCTGTGTTGCCAAGATTTCAAGTTCTCTGCATAGATCCCAGACCTATTAGTAGCTGAACCCACGCTGCTAACAGTGCTTGCTGTCATCTTTGGGGTATTGATATTAGGCATTTTTTTCTGATACACTAGAGAAAAGTGGTGTGGCCACAGCTCCCTGGAGAGAAGAAGAGAGCCCTGAACAAGAGTAACTTGGTGCCTGTTATATTCCCCTGAAGACTATCTACTGCTGCCAAGATCATCTTGAGAGCCCGTTGCTCCTTGCAAGGGAGTAGACGAGGAAAGGCAGAGAGATATTGAATAGTGGGGAAAATGAAACCAGGTATTCTGTTAATATTGTTATTTGGCCTCACCATCGAGAATGAATATCACCAGCCCTTTAATTGGACCTTGGGTCGATGGGAAGGTCCTGTTGTGTTGCAGTCTAACGTTACGACAGGTGCTCCAAGCTTTCTAACATACCTCTGTGATTTAGTACCTATACAACCATGCCTTAATCAAAAGGGCCACTATTTTTGTCCAAGCTCAAATCCTGGAAAGAGTTACTGTAATTTCCCAAATCATTATTATTGCGCATACTGGGGCTGTGAAACCCTTGCTTCTGCATGGGTTCCGAATACCCCAGACAAGTTTTTACAGTTGCGCTGGGGCCCTGATGGTTGTGGAACACCACCTCGGGTAGATAGCTCGGGAGGAAGCACAGGTCAAAGCAGATGTGACAAAATATATTTAACAATTCTCAAACCAGAAGACCCTTCATGGCTAATAGGACGCACCTGGGGAATGAGATATTGGGAACCTGGAACCGATAGGGGTGGATTCATATTCATTCAAAAACATGAGGTTAAAAATTCCCAAGTTAAAGGCCCAAATCGAATTATTAAAGAACAAAAGGGTAAAAGGAAAAGGTAAAAAAGTAGAGACTTCTACAATATCTCAGGGGTCAGATCCAACCACTACCGTTAAGATTAACAATGAGCAAAAGGCTGATGAACCCCTTTGGGCTGTAATGCAGGCAGCCTACCAGGCCTTAAACGCTACAAATCCAAATTTCACTATCTCCTGTTGGTTATGCTATGACATTAAGCTGCCTTTCTATGAAGGAATAGCTGTCCCCCCTCCTTTCAACACTTCTGATGAGGACAGTCCCTCCAGATGTAACTGGAGAGAACGGAAAGCAGGGATCACTCTCCAACAAGTCAGAGGGAGTGGTTGGTGCATAGGGAGAGTAACAAATGGAAGAAAGGCCTTATGCACAAACCAGACTCAGAACTTTTCGCCCACCACTAAATGGGTATTACCAAGTCCAGGAGCATGGTGGGCCTGTTCCATAACTGGGCTAACACCCTGCCTATCTATCACCACTATTAAACAAAATACCTCTCCTATATGGATTTTTCTCCTATATGGAAAAAATAGATTACAGAAGGTACAACTGATGGTGGTGAAACAATCTGAAATGGAGATGAAAACAATATTAGATGAAAATCCTGAATTAGAAGCAGCTCATGATATATTACCTAAGTTGAATCAACAAATTAAGGGTAAATAGAAAAAGGGAAGAGTTGTTATACATGGTTAAAAGATAATTTACTGAATGTTAAGAATTTGACCTTTGAATTTCTTGCTTTGCTTAAGGAGCTTAATAGGTAAAAGTAATCAGACAAGAACCTACGTTTGGGGGCACCTGCACAAGATGCTGAAACCAGATGGTTATATCCCGTTTGAGAAGGGAACAAAGCATGACTTCTGTAACACCGATATCTGAGTAAACATTAAAGAAACCACAAGGTTATATCACTATAGCAACATATCTCAAGTAAGACCTTGGGTAACCAAAAGCATGGAAAACAGCTTGTATTAACAAAATTTGTAGCTAATTGCTTTGTTAAGATTATATGAAGAGAGGAGAAGAAAGAGGAAGATAAGATTGCAGAAGAAGCCGGGAGGCGTGCCGATGATGTTGAAACTGGCAGCTGTGTAGATAAAAAGGGGGGTTTCAACTTAACCAATTTGGTGAGCCTTGACGGAGCTGCGACTCCTCAGCCACCCCAGCACTGCATTTGCTTTCTTACCTTAATAAAGATTCATTAATCCATATTTGGATGTGATTTGCCTTAATCTACCTATAACAGTATTTCTTGCCAATCTGAGTGCTCACTTCGGATGAGTATGTTACAACACCCATACTTACAGCCAAACAATATTACCAAGACAGAGGGTGACAGAAGCAGCCCTCTTACTCCGAGGGCCAGGACAAAAAGTCACTGTCTCCTGACTGACCTGTTTGACCACTGACAGGCAGATGTACTACTTCTGCCCTTACCACCACTAAACCTCCCTCCTAAGTACTACTGCCTGTTCTTCAGGAGCGTGCGAAAGGCAGAAAGCACCATGTACACAGAGGAGATCTCAAACCAAGGAGCTCCAGTCACTTTCCCTCACCCTGGTCAACAAAAGTACCAGGAAAGTGTTTGCATGCTGCGCGGGGGAGGGTAATGAAAGTAAACGTAGTAGTCTTGTCACCGAAATCAGGAAGACGTGCAGCAAGAGCAAAGTTGTTTCGTCTTTTTTCTTTTTTTTTTTTTTTTTTTTTTTTTCTCCTTGTCGTTATTAGACCCGTCTGGGATGCAATCCCCCCGGGGCGCTGCCTCCCCTCAGGCAGGGGTTGGCGGCGGGGCCCTCCCACGCCCCCACCCCGCCGCCAGCTCCCACCGCCTCCTCCCCCTCCCTCGGCTCACGGCCGGAGCCGGCCCGGCAGGGCCCCGGGGGCCGCGGAGCACAGCCCGCTGCAGCTCTCCCTGCCACGGCCCGGCGAAGGACGGCGGGCCGCTCCCGGCTGGGGAAGGGACCCTCAGCCCGTCCTGCTCCCGCGCTCTCGCTCCCCTCCGGGAGGCTCTGAGAGAGCGAGAAACCCACCCCGGTGCCCAGGGAAGGCCCTGCCCGAGCGCTGGCCCCCGACCCCTTCCCCGCCGGTACCTGGCGCCGGCTTGGCGGGGCCCGGTACCCCGCGGCTCCGGCCGTCCTGGAAGCGGACCTGGCGGAGGCCGCCGGGCACGGCCCCCCAGAGGCGGCTGGCGGTGCCGCGCAAGAGGCGGCCCCCCTTGCCGGTGAAGGTGGTGAGGTAGTCCATGGCGGGGTGGCTCCTACGGGCCGGGGGGCCCCATGGCCGGGCCGGGCCGGACACGCTCCACAACTTGTACAAACTTTGGGGCTCGGCCCCGCCTCCGTTTAAAGGAGCCGCCGCCGACGGCGCTGGGCGCGGTCGGGCGCGAGCCGGGGGCCGCGGCGGGGAGCGGGCCGCGGCGGCCGCCGCCCCCCTCCTCAGGCGCGCCCGGGGCCGTGCGGGCCGCGGCCGCCCTGCGGCGGAGGGGCAGCGTCCCCTCAGCCGCTCGCTCCCCCGCCGCCCCGCGTCCCTCCGAGGCTCCCCACGGCCGCGCGGAGCGGGGAGGCAGGCCCGCCGAACTCCTTGGAGGCGTAGGCCCGGCGGCGGTGTCCCGGCGGCCATGGAGCGGGGCAGGGGCCGGCCGGGGCTCCCCGCCGCCCGGAGACTCGGGGTGTTGCTTCCTCTCAGTCTCGGGCAGGCTCGCGGCCACCTTACCACCTTATCCGTAGTCTGCGGATTTAGTTACGTTTTGCGGAAGCTCACTGCTTTACAATGTGCTGCGAAGCTTTCTATTAACTTCTAGCTTTCATTTCTCAGCTTCCCTGTAGTAAGGAGCATGAAAATCAAGGCAATCTCTCACTATTAAGTCTTCTCACAGTCGTGGATATTAAGATGTTTTACCACTGTAACTGCAAAGCATGACCAGTGGTGACACTCACTGTGTGGTTTTGCTGTTCAGCTTTTGCTCCCTCACACGCCGTCTTTCCTGTGACCTGGGACACCACCGCCCTTGCTGTGCTAGCCAGCCTCCTCTCAGTGTTTGCCAGCCTTGATACCTGGCTCAGCCTTTGAAATTGCCAAGTCGCTTCAGTCTTCCAGTAGAGCTTAACAGGTATACAAATCTTTGATTTGCGGTGTCCCTTTGTAACCTGGCATTCTTTGTCCTCACAGTTCTTGGAACGTTCAAGGTTTGAAGAAATAAAACCAGTTAGAACAAGATCCAACATTTTAACAGAAATTTACAAGACATTGAATCTCATGATTAAGATCTGCCTTAAAATGTGCATTTGCAGGTATCCAGGCTGGAAGAACAGCCTTACTGTGTTTACTACCTATGCCACAGACCTTAAGAAGGCAGAACTGTAAGATGGTGTGCTTATATTCTGATCTAAGTATGATGCAATTATATGCTGCATCTAGCTGCAAATGAAAGCACTGTTTGATAAAAAATGCTCTTGTTGAGCCAAATCTATTGTGTACATGCAGAACAGAGGAACAAAGTGCTGAGCTATCTCAACTCCTATTCACTTGTAGCAGCTGCTCAATTAAATCAGAGTTTAACGTCAGCATTTTGGAGTGCTGATTTCTGAGGGTTACTTGATGTAAACAGTACACTCAAATCAACCTTTCTACTACTTAAATCAGTTCCTGCTCAGGAGATAATGATCTTCAAGGCTTTTTTTTTTTTTTTTTTCCCAAATAAAACCTTTTCACTGAAACAGAACAAGAAATTTTCAGCAGAATTAGCTCTCTCTCCCTCCCATCCAAAACCTGCCAGTAGAAATGGATGTGTAATCTGTCTGTTCCAGGACTAATGAATAAATCAGGAACTGCAGAGTCACTGCATGGTCTAAGTACCACTTAGTATATAAAGTATCCTGCCTACCAGATCTGTCTTGCCCTAAACACTGTAATTAGTTTTAATTTCATTACAGTATTTCTGCTGTGAAGAAGTTATGGTTGGTCTTTTGCCCAGTTGATTCTATCTGAGGCAAAATTTACCTATGTATTTGTACCAGGCATGAGTTTACAACTGTTGTGCTCAGCACTTCCGAAACTTCAGCTGGCTTGTCCACCAGTATTCTAGCCACATACACATCTCTGTTACTGTATTGACTGCATGTATTTCCTCTATGGTTTGAAATATTTACCTTTTTTTTTTTTTCCTCTTCCAAGACCATATTATGCAGCGTTTATCATTATATTGCAGTGATAGAGGCTACAGGTTTAGAGGCAGCAAACATTTTGATAAAGTATTCAAGGTAAATGTTTTGATAACTATGAATTTGTTACATTTGAGCTGCTTTCATATGCTTTGTTCACAAATAGTCTAACTGGAGTATGAAATGATCAGCTATTACTGCAATGCGATTTTCATTGTATTGAAAATTGTTGCCCATACTCAAAATCATCCATTTAGCACTATTTTTACTTAGGAAGAACAAATTATTCAATTGAACTGTCTTAACTATAAAAACAAGATTTAGGTATCTGAGCTCATAAAAGCTAATAGTACTCTTTAAGATATGTGACACTCATTGACTACTGATAAAATTTCAAGGCACTGAGGTAATACAATTATTATTATTATTATATTATTACATTGTGAAGAATATAGTCAGAGCTCTACTACTTCAGTAGGCATTTTCAACACAAAGATCCAGTAGTACTATTACGAGCTTTAAGATGCTGTTTCTACTTAGTCATGCCACACCCATGATAGCGAGATTTTTCACAAACATCTCTAGTCTGCACACTGACCAGGCTTAATCCTGTGTCGTTTATAAAGTCTAATATACTGAGATTTAAGATTATAGCCCACATTTCCTTCTGAAAAGCTTTGCAGCATTCCTCATCTTTTTGATTGGTAGAAGCAAGGTAAACACTACATACGTAAGCAATGTGTGTCCCTTTTGCCATAAAACTAAACCAAATGTAAATATGTTCTACAATAATTATAGTAACTTTTACACTTACACTGATCTTGAACACCTTTACAGAAATATGATCAGACTGCCTTTATGTCATCAATTTCTAGAAACAGTCAGGATTTCGCTGGGTAGGGGGATAATAAGTTTCTATTTGATCTCTGAACATGGAACGCCACAAGGATCTCTCCTGGGTTTATTTTCTGGCTTGTGGTACCAGTGCAGAAAGCATATCTCTGTAACTCCATCACTTAAAAATGGCCCTCCAAAAGAAGAAGCTTGTCCTACCTGCTCTTAATTGCTTGTGCCTGTTCCTGTTACCAGTGCGAGCAGGAGCATTCATTTGGCAGGTGAATGAACTGTGCAGTAAAGCTGATCCATTTAAAAGTATCTTTTAGTTTAGTCAAAACTAACTAGACATATTTATTTTTTGGGAGGGGTTAATGTTATCCCCAGTTAGATCTCCAGATCTGGTTGAGTTGTGTGTAAACACCTGTGGAAGCACAAATTGCAAAGCAACAGAAGAGCAGAAGTGGCTGAAGAGAGGAAAGCTGGGGAGGAAGTTGCAAGCCAGCCCTTTTGTTTTCAGTGCCAGTGTGGTAGCTCAAAGTGATAGTGAAACTGGGACACAAGTAGAGATGTCTTCATATCAGTATTACACACAAAACCACCTTCAGTAGCTACTGAAATGTCTGACAGAATATGTCTGCATTTATAATGCAACACTTGGTAACACATTGTGCTAATTTGTTGCTGTAAATAAAGGCATGACCTGGTCTTGTAGGTAGATCCCAAAGTCCCAAATCAGAGCAGGCAGAGAGCTGCATCCTAAAAGAACTGGTGGTACAGGTAAGAGAGAACAGAGATCAGTATTGGTCAAATAGAAAAGGGCAGAATGAGGAAAGAGTATTTCCAAGGTCTGAACATAGAATTACATGTAAAAGTATTGCAAAGGAGAAAAAAAGATAAAAAACCAGCAAGTGGTAGTGACCTGTCATTTCTTTGGGGACAGATTTGTTGCTTGTGAAAATAAGTGCAAATTGAAGCAACTAAGCCAGGGAAAAGGCCAGCAGATGCTGTGCAAGCTTCCTTAGGCCTTGGCCAGTTCACATGCCTGGAGTACAGGATATGGGCCACTTGCAATTCATCTTGCCAAATTTCCAGCACTATCAGCCTGCAGGCAAAAGTACACTAGGCACTAACAAAAACCCCCATTTTATTTTGTAAGAAACGAGGCTTGTACATGCTTTTTGAGGTGAAAATCTTGACGTCAGTCAGTGTTCACT